AGAAATCTTGGGCCTAATGCAAGGAATAGGGGCCAGAGTCGTAATTTGAAATTTGGGTTGGGCAAGACAAGCAAGTTCACCTGGAAAGAAAAAGAGAAATGGATTGCTAGCCCGAAGAAAGATGAAGGCTTTACTTCCAGCCCAGGTAGGGTTTTTGGCTTTAACTCGACCTGTGGTGAATGTTCGGGGATTAAAACCACATCAAACAGATTAGTGGAAGAAAAAAGAGAGGAAAAAAAAATAGAACAAGAGAAAAGTTAGGTTTCGAGGTCGTGGAAAAGGAAGGGATGAGAGGGACTTGAAGGAACAGAGATACCAGAGAAACAAGTGATGACGAATACAAAGAGCTTTGTTCGGTCTCTCTACTATTGATGGCTTCGTTAGTGATAGTATAGTTTCGGTAGATTCACAGAGTGAAGAGGAGAAAGCGTCGAACATGGTAATGGTTTCCCTGGACAAAGAAGCCCAGGCGCTCAATTCTGTTTATGACTCTGAAATCAAAGAAATCATTCAACTAAGCCTAAAAAGTGTAAAAATCATAAAAAGAGAAATGGATCACTGCTCTCAGTGGGTTGCCAATAATATACAGAAATTCAGCAAAAAGATGGGTGTCTCACTGGAAGGTATGGAACATTTGACCTTTCTTTTCTTCTCTGAAATAGAAAAAAGAAAAACTTCAATGAAGTTGAAAGGGAGGGTCAGTAAAGAAAAGAGAAAACAGCCCGGTGGTACTCCAAGAGAGTTAAAAAGATTGGAATCTTCAATAAATTATGAGAGCAGAAGGAAGGGAAGCAGGGATTCAGGAGGGGTTAGGATGACTTGTCAATGATAGGAAAGGTTATTTCTTGGAATGTTCGTGGTGTCAATGACAAAGGCAAAAGACGGATAATCCGGGGATGCTTTAAGAAGTGGAAACCTACTGTTGTACATTTGTAAGAAACAAAACTGGAAATGTATGACAGTGGAATTGTTAATAGCTTATCGTGTGTAAAAGATAAGGGATGGCAGGATATTCCAGCTAAAGGCACTGCTGGTAGTATGATTATGTTGTGGTGGGATAATTACGTGCAGTGTGTGGATGTCTTAAAAGGGGAATGCACATTATCCTGTATTTTTAAAAACAGGCATGAAGATTTTAGTTGAATGTTTATCGGGATTTACGGCAGGGGAAACAAAGAGGAGAAAGCTCTGTTATGGAATGAGTTGGAGATGTGTAGAGCTAAATGGGATGGTAGTTGGGTCATTTGGGGGGGATTTTAACATGACTATGAGAAGGGGTGAGAGAAGTGGAAGCAATTTCTCTGTAAAGGAGGCAAGCGAATTTAAGGAGAGAATGGATAGGGCTGATGTTATAGATCTGCCTGTATCAAATGGGCAGTGGACTTGGTCCAATCAACAAAGTAGGTCGAGAATAGACAGATTTTTATTTCTTCAAATTTGTTGGTGGATCTTGCCGGAATTTGTCACAAAATTTTACCCCCACCTACATCGTATCATTACCCTATTTGCATCGAAGCTGAGGGGATTCAATGGGGTCCTATCCCTTTTCGTTTGGATAATAAATGTTTGGGAATGACAAATTTTAGGCAGCTGGTGGAAAAAATTTGGCTGAACACGGAAGCTGAAGGTTTTGCAAGTTACAGATTTGCATATAAACTTAAAGTCCTGAAAAAAGAAATTAAGATTTGGACTAAAGAGGTCTTGGGTGAGAAAAAAACTGAATTTGAGTTTGTCACGGCTTAGATTAATGATCTGGATGAGAACGAGGGATCGAAGCGCTTAAATGATAAGGAAAGAGGTCGGAGAGGAAATTTGAAACTTAGACTGACTACTCATTTGAAGGATGAAAAGTCTGTTTGGAGACAAAGATCCAAGGAGAAATGGTTGGAGGAGGGGGACAGGAACACTAGATATTTCCATGCTTTGGCCTCTTGTAGACACTGTGAAAATTACATTGAAGAGATTTGGTGTGATGGTTCAGGGCTATACTGAGTTGAGAGAGAGGCTGCCAGAGAATATTTTCTCAATTTATACAAAGAAGACAGGGAGGTTCGCCCCAATCTGAATGGTTTGCCATTTAATAGAATTTCGTAAATGAGTTGTAAAATGCTCGAAGCTGAATTCACCGAGGAGGAGGTGCTTGATGGGTTAAAATCATGCAATGGCAACAAGGCTCCTAGTCTGGATGGCTTTAATTTGAAGTTTCTTCAAGTTTTCTGGTACTTGTTGAAAAATGACATTATGTGTATATTCAAAGAAATGCATTGTTCGGTTAAATTTGTGAAATCTTTAAACTCTATTTTTATTACGCTCATACCTAAAAAGAATGGGGCCAATGAGTTTAAAGATTTTAAACCTATAAGTTTAGTAAATTGTGTCTACAAATTAATTACAAAGGTGTTGGCTAGAAGGCTCTCTAAGTGTTAGGGGAGGTTATTGGGGATTGTCAACATGCTTTTATTGAAGGAAGACAAATTCTTGACGCGGTGATGGCTGCAAATGAAACAGTTAATGATCTTTTTGTTAATAAGAGGAACGGTTCGGTGTGCAAGCTTGATTTGGAGAAGGCTTATGACAATGTTAATTGGAATTTTGTTGATTATTTGCTTGATAGAATGGGTTTTGGGTCAAAATGGAGGAAGTGGATGAAAACATGCATTACTACTACATCTTTTGTTGTACTTATAAATGGGGGTCCTAAATTTTTCAAGGCAACAAAAGGTTTAAAACAAGGGGATCCTCTCTCTCTCCTCTTCTTTTCATTTGTGTTATGGAATCTTTTAATGGCATTTTGTGTAGGGCGAATAATCTGCAGATGTTGAGGGGCAAACCGGTGGGTACGGGTGGAAACAAAACTGATGTGACCCATCTATTTTTTACTGACGACACTCTCATACTCTGCCAACCAGAATTAAAGAATATGTTATATTTAGGATGTATATTATTATGTTTTCAAGCGGTTTCGGGGTTCAAAATTAATCTCAACAAATCCAAAATGGCCAGAACTGGGGGTGGTGGTGCGGCTGGGGCTTATGCTGAAATTTTGGGGTACAAAGAAGCCAATTTCCCTTTTAAGTACTTAGGGGTTCCCTTGGAGGCTAAATACAAAGATTTTGTATGTGGAAATCGGTCATCGACATGTACGAAATGAGACTTGCAGGGTGGAAGAGGGGTTTTTTGTCTAAAGGAGGGAGATTAACCTTAATTAAAAGAACTTTGGTCAATCTTCCAATATATTACTTATCTACAATTACTATCTCGGTGAGAGTGGGAGAGAAATTGGAAAGCATCTAGCGTAGGATTTTGTGGGTGGTGGTATTGATGATCGGAAATATCATTTGATTAATTGGAATGACATTAAAGCTCCTCTTCATATGAGGGATTGGGGATTCAGTCCTTAGTTAAATTGAATGAAACGCTTCACGTAATGGCTTTGGAGTATTGGAGGGAGAAAATAGATGCAAGAGGATTGTTGAAGCTAGATGGGTGAGCAATGACTC